AGAATCTTTAATGCAAGAATAGCTCAATGTGTTAGATCTTGAACTCAATCCGATCAAGCTGGCTCTGAAGGCCTTCATGCATATTCTGGATGAGTGCTATGAAGTTGCTCAGTATAGGCTCAATATGAGATGGATCAACATGCCTCATGCCATCCGTAACTTATTCTGGCACATCTCTTAGTCTCTCAAAACATCAAATTTCTTTGTTATTGAACTTTAGCAAAGGAGGGAGCATAAGATCCTTCGGGTAAGTGGAAACCTGCTTTTCTAAGCACACTTGAGTAATCACATGTGAGAATCCAAATTCTTGCTTGCAATATCTACTTCTGGGAAACTTTTGCATGTACTCAAACATGATATTTGGAAAGTCGATAAGTTGCCTCATCATCAAAGTATACAAGAAGGCAGCTTGATCAATAGTCACATTACTCATATGGATCACGAGGATAACATTAGATGCCAAGAAGTGCCACTATAAGAGTTGTCCTATTCAGATTACAATGCAAAATGCTCTTGGGATTGCCATAGGTGTCATATTGCTAAATATTTTTGCCAGGGAGGCATAGCACTCAGACTACATTATCAAATCGTAATTGATTTTGTCATTCTTATAAATGGTATATTGGCACTCTTTTATTGTAGAAAGGTTGCACACCTTTTGAAATGTGTCCACAGTGATCTCAACCAATTTTCCCCTTATCTTAAATCACAATGTATCCTTATAAGCAGCATAGGCATAGTAGACTTTAACAAGCTATTAAGAAGCATGGCTCTGTTCATGTATGAGGCTAATGGCATGATAAACATCATACAAATCGTTGTAAAATTATTCAGACCATTTCAAAGGGAAGGGTCTTTCTTAGACTATTTTTCGCTCCTTTAAATATTGCTCAAGATAATTTTGAATTGCTACAGTGGTAAATCGGGCTTTATCCCATCCCGATGCCTTGGAGCTTTCACCAACCTTAATAACTTTGGCTTTTTTAGAAAGTGAGATACTTTTCTTACTCATTGCCTGCATAGATGCCCACAAAACAACAAACTGAGACCACAAATACAAAAACAAAAATAAACCCATAAATTAGAATCATAAGAACACAATGAATTTAGCATAGAACTTGCCCATAAATTCAAATATGAGCTGTGCCATATAACCAAACAAAAAAGACTCAAGCCTAGTAAGAATTGTGAAGGCTATAGAATCAAGATCCAAGCCTAATAAAGGCTATAGAATTATGAAGAACTAATTTAAACTCCCAAAATGAGAATTGTACATAATCACAATTGCAATTTTGTTGCCAGAGTAAATCATAAAAATCAACAAAAACATGCCTCAACAGTCAAAAATTCCCAATAAGCATCTCCATTGTGTTAGTTCAAATAATAAAAGTAATCAACAGAGCAAATGCAATTCATTCTCATCCAAAATTCAATCTGTAGTAGAGATTTGATTCTGCCTTTTGATGCCTAAGTTTTCCCCATCAAGAATCCCAAAAACAGAATTCAATCCAATCTTAGATAATCAACCATTAGCATTAAATTCTAGAGTGAATGCACTAACATCAAACCATTGTTAAAGGGAACCTACAAATTGGAAAATCACTCCACTAAATAATGCATTCAAATTCAAATCCTTCCACATTAAGTGATTGACAGTTTAGAATCAAATCAAAATTTAGCAACCAAATCAAAATTCTAGAGCTTAATGCAAAATTTTCAAGCTAACAAAACCTCATAAATACAAAGAATTTGGCCATATAGTATACCTCAAAGCACAAAGAGATAATAGATTCAGGATAGTAAGTACAAACATAAAAAGGAGAGGAATGAAGAAACTCAAAATAGTGAGCTCTATAACATAAATTATGAGAGCAATTTTAAACCCAGCAAAAGCATAAATCAGAGCTTTACTTAGAAATAAAAGGATATTTGAAATTTATAATAGCATAATGCACATAACAGCAGCTAGGCAACGACAAGATTCAATATACTTGAATCTTAAAAAAGAATGCACATTTCAGGTCGTGATTTACAAACAACGCAGTAATGGATTTGAGAAGGAAAGAGATGATGGTAAAGACCTGCTCAAGAATGAAAATCCTAAACCAAGGAGCAGGCTTATGGCTGCGAGCAGGACAATGGTGAAGATGATAATGAACTATAGCTGACAGGAAGAATGAATGAGACGTCTATGAGGATTAAGTGAGATGAGATTCATTATAGCAGAAGCATCCTGAAGCTCCATGAATAGCTATTGCAGAAAGGAAGAGACAGTAGCAAAGGCAAGGGCGATAGTCATGGAGTTACGGTAAATAGTGAAGGTAAAAATGAAGTGTAACTTTGTGACTGAATAATCGTAGAGATGAGTTATAGCTCAAATGAAAATAGAAAAATGAGGAAGGAACAGTGGCTACTGGAGAAGGAAAGAAATGCCATGGGTGCTGGTGGTGGACTACGGTGGAGGAAAATGAGAAGCAGAGCAGCTGCGATTGAAGCTCGTGAAGAAGAATAAGGAGACGGGCAAGCTAAGGGTTTTGAATTATGGGGCTAAATAAATTAAAAAGAATTTTTTTTTATTTTAGCTACAATATACAACATATAAGGAAAAAAATGGGGGGAAAGACAAATTTAAGACTAGGGAAAAATCTATGCTTGAAATTTTTTTATTTTTTTTAAGCTGTAAAATGCAACAGCATTAATGAAAGAGGAAGAAAAGAGAGAAAAAAAATCTATTAATATTATATATATATATATATATTGGAAAAATAACCCCACAAAAAAAAATTTACAGGCCCAAAGTCTGACTTTCAAATCAAGCTTAAATCCAAAGTCATGACTTTCATCTTCTCTGGACCTTATCACAACTTTTGTCAGAACTTTTATGACAGCAAAATTCTGCAGCAATCTGTTTTCATAAATTTAATATGTTCTCCCCTTAAAACCTCTCCCAAGCACTATGTTCATCCAAATCAATCTATAACCATCATTCATCAACCATAAACAATTTTATTCAATTAAAATGCAATCAAGCCCTAAAAAAGAACCATTTTTTATAGGAATCAAACCATATAAATTTGCATTCACTTCAATAAGCCCAAAATAAATTCTAAGACAATTTCATAATCATAAAACAACTTAAATAGCTTAACTTTCCTGAAATTTTCCCTTCTCTTGGAATCTTTTAGTCTTTTGCCATATTTCTTGCTTCACCAAAGGCTCACACTTCCTCATATCTTCATGTTAACCTACAAAAGATAAAAGATCACACATAACTTCACCAAAACAACTAAACTACAAAGGAAAAATCAAAAGATAAGGCTTAGAGCTTGGGTTGTCTCCCAAGTAGTGCTTGCTTTATAGTCATTCAACCTGACTCTTATCTTCTTCAAGAGATATCAAATTTCACCACCCCAATAATGCTTCAATCATTGCCCATTGACTTTAAATCTTTCTCCTTCAATGCTCTCTAACTCAACAGCACCATGATTGAAAGCTCAGACCATAATGAACGGTCCTAACTATCTAGGCTTGAGTTTGTCAGGAAACAACCTCAATCTAGAGTTGTACAAGAGTACTTTATAGCCTTGCTTAAATGTTTTGCATAGAATTTTCTTGTCATGCCATCTTTTTATCTTCTTCTTGTATTGCCTAACATTCTTATAAGCATTAAACTAAAATTCATCAAGTTCATTTAGTTGGAGAAGTCTCTTTTCACCTACAGGCTTAAAATCAAAGTTGAGCTTTTAGATAGCCCAATAAGTACTATGTTCCAACTCTACGAGAAGATGACATGCTTTCCCAAAAACTAGTCGATGTGGAAACATACCGATAGGATTTTTCTGAGCCATTCGATAAGCCCACAATGCATCATCAAGTTTGATGGACCAATCCTTTATTGTCACTCCTACCACCTTCTCAAGTATCTTCTTGATTTCTCAATTAGAAATCTCAGCTTGCCCATTAGTTTAAGGATGATAGGCAAGTGTGACCTTATGCTTGATACTATATTTCTTCAAAAGATATTAAAATTGGTTGCCATCACTCACAATGGCTCTAGGTGCTCCAAAGCAGGTAAAAATATGCTTCTTCATAAACTTAAGCACTACTTTAGCATCATTGGTGGGAAACGCCACTGCTTCAACCCATTTTAAGATATAGTCTACAGTAATAAGGATATATTGATTGTTAAAAGACATGAAAAATGGTCCTATAAAGTCTATGCCCCAAATGTCAAACAATTCAACTTCAAGCATGTTATTGAGTGGCATTTCATTCCTTTTAGATATGTTACCCATCCTTTGGCACCTATCACGCTTCAATACAAAGTTAATACATTTTTAAATGAAGAGGGCCAATAAAAACCACTTTGTAAGATTTTAGATGTTGTCTTGTCACCACCAAAGTGGCCTTCATAGTCAGAAGAATAGGAACATTTTAGAATTTCTTGTTGCTCACACTCAAGAACAAACTTTCTAATCATTTAGTTGGCACATTAGCGAAACAAATAAGGTTCTTCCTAAAAATACAACTTAGCATCATGGAGAAACTTCTTTTGATAAAACTTCAGCTCAAAGGGTAAGATGTCACAAACAAGATAGTTGATAATGTCTGCATACCATGGTGGTTGAATGTTGTCAACCTTGAAGAGTTACTCATCAGGAAAAACTTCATCAATAGTTACAGTAGATTCAAGTTAAGCATCAGTACTCAATCTAGAAAGATGGTCCGCTACTTGATTCCCAGTACCCTTCCTATCAACATCTCCAAGTTAAATTCTTGTAGAAGTAGTACCCATCTAATTAACCTTTCTTTAGACTCCTTTTTACTGAATAGGTACTTCAAAGCTGAATGGTCGATGTAAACTACCACCTTAGTACTATAAGATATGATCTAAACTTGGTAAAGGAAAACACTACTGCAAGTAGTTCTTTCTTAGTTGTGGTGTAGTTTTCTTAAGCATCATTAAGTGTTTTGCTAGTACAGTAAATTGAGTGAAGTACTTTTTCTTTCTTTTGATCGAGCTTAGCATCCATGGAAAAATCACTAGCATCACACATCACAATGACAAACAAACTCCAATCAGGAGCTATCATGATGGGTGCAGACACATGTCTTTTCTTCAACTCTTTAAATGCCTTCAAGTGTAAATCATCAAATTTAAATTCGACATCTTTTTCGAGAAGAGTACAAAGAGGCTTGACTATTTTAGAGAAGTCTTTGATAAAGCGATGATAGAATCCTGCATGGCTAAGAAAGCTCCTCACACCCTTAACATTAACAAGTAGAGGAAGTTGTTCAATCATAAAAATTTTTGCTTTATCAACCTTTAAGCCATTCTTGGAGACTCTATGGCCAAGAACTATGCCCTCCTTAACCATGAAGTGGCATTTTTCCCAATTCAAGACCAAGTTAATCTCTTCAACATCTTTTTAATACATTGGCCAAGTTGATCAAGCACTCATCATAAGAATCTCCAAAAACTGTGAAGTCATATATGAAGACTTCTATAGTGTGCTCAATCATATTAGGAAAAATTGCCATCATACACCTCTGAAAAGTAGTTAGTGTATTGCATAACCTAAAAGGTATGCACTTGAAAGTAAAATTTTCATAAGGAAAAGTAAATATTATTTTTTCTTGATCCTCTAGAGCAATGGCAATTTGCTTATAGCCTGAATATCCATCAAGAAAGCAAAAGAATTCCCTTTCAATGAATTTATCAAGCATTTGGTTGATAAAGAGAAGAGGAAAATGATCTTTTCTTCTGGCCACATTTAGCTTTTGGTAATCCATACACACTCTCCAACCAATAAGAATGTATGTAAAAATTAGCTCATTGTGGGTGTTAGCCACTACAGTCATGCCTCCCTTTTTTTGGAACGCATTGGACTTGTCTCAACTAAGAGCTATTAAAGATAGGATAGACAATGCCAGCATCAAGCCATTTTAATATTTTCTTTTTCACAACTTCCTTCATAATTGGATTCAATCTTCTTTGACATGCAAATTGAAGGGCTAATGCCCTTTATGTTAGCAATAATTCACCTAATAGCTCTTTTGTAAGCTTTCAAGACTTCCATAAATTAGTCTTCTTATTATACATTCAAGTCCACAACAATAATCACTAGTAAAGTGTTGTTGGCTCCTAAATAGACATATCAAAGATGAGAAGGTAATGTCTTCAACTGAAGTGATGGTGGCTCTTCAATAGAAGATTTCAAAGATGGTCTATCTAGAGAAGATAAATCTAGAGATTCAAATTGGACATGATTTCTAGAATAAACCAATGATGCATTCATGATAGCCATATACTCTTCTCCATCTTGAGTCTTTAATTGAGCCCCTAGTAATAAGGCTTTCAGAAAATCATTAGGAATTGCCTCATTGAAATCTTCTTGTGCAACTTGATTAAGCATATCAACAAAGAAACATTGCTTAAGATCATTAGGAGATTTCATCAACTTGTGCATGTTAAAAGTGACTTGATCATCATCAACCTGCATAGTAAGCTCACCTTTTTCAACATCAATCAAGGTTCTAGCGGTTGCCAAGAATGGTCTTCCTAAGATAATAGAAATATCACAATCCACCTCACAATCAAGGACAATGAAGTCAACCGAAAAAATAAATTTATCCACCTTTACAAGAACATCTTTAATAACACCATGTAGATAAGGCAAGCTTCTATCCACCAATTATAAAGTCATAGTTGTTGGTCTAGCTTCACCCAACTTTCATTTATTGAAAATAGAAAGAGGCATAAGATTGATACTAGCATTAAGATCACATAATGCCTTACCCAAAAATTTATTTCCAATATGACATGAAATTGAGAAGTTACTGAGATCCTTCATCTTTTGAGGTAATTACTTGATGATATCCTTACAACTCTTAATTAGAGCAGCCGTCTCAAACTCATTAAACCTTTTCTTTTCAGAGAGCACATCTTTCATGAATTTAGCATATTTTGGAATTTACTCCAAGGCTTCCATAAAAGAAATGTGATATGCAATTGCTTGAACATATCAAGAAACTTTTTGAATTGGCCATCTTCGTGTTGCTTCCTAAGCCTTTGAGGAAAAGGTGGTGGAGGAACATATTATGGCTTGGCCTCTTATTGCTTTTTCTTATCACCAACCTTTTTGGCTTTATCATCACTCTTTTTCTCTTCTTAATTCTTCTTTGAGTTGTCACACTCTTCAATCCCAATTTCTTCATCAACCACTCCATCATTAGCAGCCATATTAGTAGCACCATTACTCATACCACTTGCACTTGGCATTAGAACTTTCAATAATTACATCACACTTCTCAAAGTGATTGCCTTGCATTCCATTTTAAGATTTAGAATGGTGTCACTAAGGAGATTTCTTCTTGACATAGCATTCATTTGTGAAGCCAATTACGCCATTTGCACTTCGAAATTCTTAATTACAGTTTCATGAAGACAAAGAGTTGCCTTGGTTTCAACTATTGTAGACTCTTGATTACTCAAGATTTGTAATAACATCTTCTCCATTCTAGATTCCTCTTCCTTCACCAACATTGGCTTTAGCAGAGCTTGAAAACTTAGAGGGTGAGTTGGCTTGACATTAGAAGAAGAAGGTAGATTTAAAGAATTTCCTTGACTCTATAAAAAGTTAGGATGATTCCTCCATCCTAAGTTATATGTTTGAGAGTAAAGGTTGTTGTGTGAATTTTGAAACTTGCCTATATAATTGATAGATTCAGTGGAAATCAAGGGGGAAGTGGAAATTAAAGTAGGATTAGAGATTCAGAGGACTAATTGGTATTTTGATTGGTTTATGTGTTGTATGAACAGATATGGGTGATAGAAGTGTGTTTTGGGTTGAAGCAAGTGTGTGTGGTGAGAAGAAGTCTCATTGTACCACACACCATGGCTCATGCTTCATGTGCCATGACACATGGACCAAAATTTGCCTTCATAAGTCATGAATTTTAAAAAATTTCAAAAGAGAGAATTTGAGAAACACACGAAACAGAGAGAGAAAAAGGGGTAAGAAGATAGGTTAAGTCATTTTAGAGCAGTGTAAGGTGATTCAAATCGGTAACTTGCCAGGTAAGCTACGTATAACTCTTACCTTCCATTCTACATAAATTTCTCTGAAAATGAATTATAGGGAAATTGAATCAGTGGAATTTAAGGGGTTTGATTCTTACCCAATAGTAATAAAAAGGTTCTTGGAAGTTAAATTAGAGCTTTATGACTGGTTTAGAGTTGAACGATAGAGCTTTGAACCCGGAGGCTCAATCTTGGGTCTTTAGAGAGAAAGTTAGGGCAAAATCTGTCTTGAGTAAAATAAGACCGGTTGATGTGATGTAAAGTAGTAATTAGGTAGTTATGGACTTATAAAGGATAAATGGAAAAGAGTTTACAGATGAATATAGCCCTAAATAATAAAAATGAGTTTTTGGTCAAAATGGGTTAAATGACTAAAATGTGCTAAATGTGTTCAGATTGGACTATTGGGCAGTGAGTAGAGAATGGAAGCTTGAGATAAGCTTGTACGATAGTAAAAATCCATAGGTAACTTTTCTAGTGAAAGAAGAGTTGAGATAATCGAATAACTTTATTTGTTTGACTGTTTATTGTAACTGTATGCTAATATGCTAAATAATGCATGAACTGGTTTGAATTGAGCATGTTTTGTGGCATTAAAATTGTGTTTTACAATGTAAAGTAATATATATATATACATTATGTATAAGAAAAAGTTAATTATGAAAAGGGAACCTTAAATAGTTCAAGAAAGCATGATCTGAGTGGTGGTAGTTCACCCGAGTATAAAGGATGATAAAGACTATATGACAAAGTTTTCTTAGTACCTTGTTAGGGTGCGGTGTTGGAAACAATTCTCCTTAGTGCTTTGAAAGGTGCTACGTTAGAGAAGATCTCCTGAGTACCTATTAAGGTACTATGTTGGAGATGAGAGATTTCTTAGTATCTTTGTGATACGGGTGGGAGTCAATGACGCCCCATTGTATGCATTGGGGGAAAACTATAGTCTATATTGTGCATTAGAACATCTTTGGTCGGGTGATTCTACCACTATAGGTGAGCTCAAGACTAATGAAATTGTACATTAGTCTGAGATGAACCTATGGTTTCATGTCGGGGTGATTTGGAGGGCTGGTTAGTAGAGATCATGCTAATATTTTATGGTATGATGAAATATCTTGAGATAGCATGGAATCTTTAGGATTGATGAAAAGTAAAAAATAAAATGTGATATGATGTAAATACTACTTTATGAGGTTTTAAGGGTATATTATATTTACTTTCATATTGTTGCATGTGATAGTTAATAAGAGTGAGTTATTCTGTTACTGATATTTCTATCTCATCCCTATGGTTACATGTTTACAGGACTGAGAAGTGAGTAGGCTAAGGGAAGAGAGTCTGGACTGGCTTGAGTTGAGAAGCCGTGTACTCTAAGGTTGTGTAATGAACTGAATTGAAATATTGTATATATAAGTGTATATGAGTTGCCATAGGGTTGTATGCCTATATTGAGTTGAGTTTTGTGAAATCAAGCTCGAATTATGTGTATATGTGTTGTTTGAGACAAAAAGGGCTTTAATTTGGGTATGTCAGTGTTGCAATAATTATGTGTTGGTGAATCTTAAGCCAAAAGCCAAAATTATGATGAAATGAGTAATTTAGGGGCTAAGATTGTATTTTGATTATGGTGGGTGAATCTTAAGCTAAAAGCTAAAATTATGATGAAATGAGTAATTTAGGAGCTAAGATTGTATTATGAATAGGATTACATATGTATGACTTGAGAAGTAGCCACGTAGGCTATGTTATGCCAAGAAATGGCATAATTTGTAAAATTAGTAAATTGTAGAAATTAGCCGTAGAGGGGTTAAATTTTGATATATGAGTATGATTGTGATTGATTGTGATCAATCAGGTGTTTTAAATCCTTTTAGACTTGGTTCAAGGCCTAGTGTGATCTAATGAGAGAAAGGGATTGATTTGAGTGCTTGGGTGCGCCAAATTTTTATAAAAAATGACTTTTTGCACTTAGGTATCCAAATTTTGATTGAACCATTAGATTGTGCCCAAACCTATCTCATTAGTTAGTATACGAGCTAAGCTTCATGTGGGCACTTAAATCACTCCAATCGGATGTCGTATGCAAAAATGGTGCATGCTAAAAGTTCGTCATTTTGCTGTCAAAATAATAGCAGAAAAATGAACAAGCAAGCAGCGGCACATGGATGCACATGTTGTGGCACACGACACAGACAAAGAGAGCGTGTGGCTCTGTGCCACATGCCATGGCACACTAACAATCCACCACGACGCACTGACCAAACTTCAATTTTATTTTGTGTGCTAAAATGCATG